GATTTATTTGCCCTTCTGCTTTCCCTGCTATATGAAGTTTCCACATTTTATCCTAATGTCCCAGGTTCAGTCCCTGGCTCTGGGTAGAGTAAACAAAAAGCTCCTCCCTAAATCCTCAGAGGGCTACTGACATTTTGTGTAGCCATATTGAATTGATCTAGGAGAGCCATGTGGTCTCATTGGGATCAGTTCATTTACTGTTTGATATTTTACTAGGTTTTTATATATACTGTAAGCCGCCCAGAGTGGCTGGGGAAACCCATCCAGATGAGCGGGGTATAAATAATAAAATTATCATCATCATCATCAGTGTGCTCTACGTGGGGCTACCTTTGAAGGTGACCCAGAAATTACAACTAATCCAGAATGCAGCAGCTAGACTGGTGACTGGGAGCGGCTGCCGATACCATATAACACTGGTCCTGAAAGACCTACATTGGCTCCCAGTACGTTTCCGAGCACAATTCAAAGTGTTGGTGCTGACCTTTAAAGCCCTAAACGGCCTCTGCCTAGTATACCTGAAGGAGCGTCTCCACCCCCATCGTTCAGCCCAGACACTGAAGTCCAGCTCTGAGGGCCTTCTGGCAGTTCCCTCACTGTGAGAAGTAAGGGTACAGGGAACCAGGCAGAGGGCTTTCTCAGTAGTGGTGCCTGCCTGTGGAACACCCGCCCATCAGATGTCAAGGAAATAAACAACCATCTCACTTTTAGAAGACATCTGAAGGCAGCCCTGTTTAGGGCAGTTTTTGATTCTTGGTGTTTTATCATGTGTTTAATATTCTGTTGGGTGGGGTATAAATAATAAATTTTTATTATTATTGTTGTTGTTGTTGTTGTCGTCATCATCACTATTTCTGGGCCCAACTGAGCCACGATGCACCAGCACAATAGATAACTATTTCATTAATGAGTAAAGAAAATTACATTAGTCCATAAACTACCAATTTTATTTTTGTGAGGTCTGAATTATTGCTGCTCTCACATACATGCATGTGTGAACATCGGCGTGTAGTACTTTGAACCCCCAAGAGTTAAGTCTTGTAGCTCAAATCTAAACTCTCAGCTATTAATTCTGTTGTCTGTGCACAATTCTATTAGAATCACAATATGGTAACAATAAACAATATTATTTAGCAGGAACGGTTTGGGTGAACACCGCAGGGTAGCTGGAATGTACCAAATAGGCCTCAGCAGGAATGTCATGGTATTTGACCCAGTGTGAATGCAGCTGTTTCTGTGATGGGTATAGGACTCCTGGCAAAGGCTTCGTGCACTCTCACTCTCTGTTTTGGTCTGTTTCAAATAATTTTTTATATTAGAAGAAAGAATGATAGAAAGGGCAATGGTTGTTGGCCTGAGCTCTCTTTGTTTATCGGAATGGAAAGTTACAGAAACATTTCCCAAACGGTTCTGACCTCATTCCAGTTTTTATGTATGTACAGAAAGTCACAAGGAGTGTAAATGTGAATTACCGTATTTTTTGCCCCATAGGACACACTTTTTCCCCTCCAAAAATGAAGGGGAAATGTGTGTGCGTCCTATGGGGCGAATGCAGGCTTTCGCTGAAGCCTGGAGAGCGAGAGGGGTCGCTGCGCACCGACCCCTCTCACTCTCCAGGCTTGCGGAGAGTTGCCTGCATGCCGAAGGCTGGGCGCGCTGAGCTCAGCGCGCCCAGGCTTTGCACAGCTCTCCACAAGGTGCGGGAGCCTGGCGCCGGGCTCCCATGGCTTGCGGAGAGTTGCCTGTTCTGGGGGCTGGGGGGGAAATAACATTTTTTCCCTTTATTTCCCCCCCAAAAAACTAGGTGCACCTTATGGGACGGTGCGTCCTATAGGGCGAAAAATACGGTAGTACCATTTGTGTTGGATGCAGACAACTGATAACTTTTATGGTCAGTTAATATGTGAGAAGCTTATTAAGCCTTGTGAACTGCGGTTCTCACCGCAACTACTTCGACACTTTGTCCAGAGGGTCAGCCACAAGTCAGTGTGACCTTCAGCAGACCCTCCAAGTGACCCTATTTTCCAGGAATGGTTCTGGATTTACAGAAGCCATCCCAGTTTCTGATTTGATCCCAGAATGTCCCTCTTTTCCTTAGAACGTCCCTACTTTCATCAGAGAAGTGTTGGAGGGTATGGTAGGATGTCCCTATTTTTGTTGGGCAAATGTTGGAGAGGACATCTCTATTTTCACCAGAGAAATGTTGTTGGGTATGCCTTAGCCTCCCCAAAGAGTTAGGCAGCCCTAGGCCAGAGCAATCTATACAGGTCAGAATCAGCCACATTATCAGCATGCTGGGCCCTGTGTACCTGTGGAATGCTATTCCATTTAGCTTTTAAAAAGTCAGATTTTCAGATCTGGGAGGGGGAATTCCAGAAGCCGAACACCGGGGGGGGGAGGGGGGTTTTTGTTCATGACATTGTACAGATGGCCCATAAAAAGTGTGTGAACAAAGCGTGGATATTCCAAAGCACATGCGCAGCACTGAATCAAGCCGAAGGGCTGCACCACCATTCATATAAAGTAAAGGTGTGGGAAACCACATAGGTGCAGGTTCATATTTTAATATTTTCAAGTATAGAATATCTGAACAAATAAGGAATGAAATATGATAAATCCCAGTGCATTTCGAGTATCACTCTTCTTCAGCTGAGGAAGAAGGCTTGGCCAGGATCCAACCCATTATATTTAGCAGGGACAGTTTGGGTGAACACCGCAGGGAAGCTGGAAAGTACCAAAGAGGCCACAGCAGGAAATGTCATGGTATTCGACCCACGGCAAATGCAGCTAATTCTGAGATGGGTCTTTTGTTGGCTAAGCCATTGCTGCTTCTTTGTCTGTTTGAAATATTGTTATTATTTTAATTCTAGAAGCCCAAAAGATTGATGGAAGGGGTAATTGGCATGAGTTCTTGGTGTATATTGGAACAGTAAGCAAAAAAAAAGTTTCTCAGCCAGCCCAAAAGTAGACGGTCTCAATCTCATTTCAGTTTTTATGTTTATTTGGAAGCTTTAGTGAAATCCATATGGGGAATATAAATATTAATTACTGGTGTGTGCATTGAATTCAGAAAACTTAAACCTTGTGAGTTATGGCTAGTTAACGTATGAAAAGATGAGGTCCATGAAAAAAAAAGGATAGTCATGTTTCATATCAGGGATGTTGATCTATTGAGAAAAGAAGAAGCACTGATAGACAAACTCCAAACTCCTTCAACCTGCTACGGCGGCGGTTAGGCATTGGAATAATGTGTTTGTGGTGTGTGGAAGGGCTAGGTGTGGCCATCGCCTACGCCTTCAATTTTTGGGTATTCCGTTAAAGGAATCCGGCGGTCGTGGATCCTGTCCGATGCCTGTGTGGCGGGAGGCCATGGCACGACCCTTGGTGACATCAGGAGAGAGCTTATAGTTGGATTAGCATCAACAGGCTCCACCTACTGGTGAATAAACCCCCTTTTAGACTCACCCCTCTCCGAGTGGGTGGAGTCAACTGACGCAATCCAATGCCTAAGCCAATACCTTTTCACTTGCTGTAATCAATAAAGTTGTGGCCTTTTCCTGCCCATTAACCTTATATTACGTGTCCGTGTGTCTTCATTCCACTAAGCGGGGATCGGGTCCTCAAACCACAACTACCTCCCAATGAACATTAGGGTAAGTGATTGGGAGTGGGGCTGCATCAGCATCATTTTTTTTTCCTTTCCACAAAAAACATCATGCTCAAAGCGGCTTGCAACAAAGAAACAAAGAATACATCTCAAGATCAACCATCGCAAGAACCATTTCATAATGACCTGCTGAAACTGCAACATAACAGCAAATATAACATCCCAAAAAAAAATTTCAGTGCTATAAATATAACAATATTGCACTGACAACATTATGACTCCTGGCAACAGAAAAATAACAAGGGAACTTAACACCTTGCTTTTGTCTTGGTCCTAGAAACACCTGTCCCTTGATCTTGCTCACAGTCCTTCTCTAGCAGCAGCTTCTTAGAAGACTTCCAAAAGCAGGGAGTGGGGTAGCTGGGAACACTCCTCCAACGATGTTGCAGGAAGAAGGGGGAATCTGCAGAAAATCATCTTTCCCCTCCTTCCTCCAGCAGCAGCCTACTCTGCATCTAAGTCCCTTCGGTGAATGCAAAGAGCAATTCATAATATAATAATAATAATAATTTATACCCCGCCCATCTGGCTGGGCTTCCCCAGCCACTCTGGGCAGCTTCCAAAAAAATATTAAAATACTGTGATACATCAAACATTAAAAGCTTCCCTAAACAGGGCTGCGTTCAGATGTCTTCTAAAAGTCTGGTAGTTGTTCTCTTTGACATCTGGTGGGAGGGCGTTCCACTACCGAGAAGGCCCTCTGCCTGGTTCCCTGTAACTTGCCTTCTCGCAGTGAGGGAACTGCCAGAAGGCCCTCGGCGCTGGATCTCAGTGTCCAGGTAGAACGATGGAGGTGGAGACGCTCCTTCAGATATACTGGACCGAGGCCGTTTAGGGCTTTAAAGGTCAGCACCAACACTTTGAATTGTGCTCAGAAACATATTGTTTCAGTTTTGCCGAAGACAAGCCTGATACCAGCCCGTTGTCTTTGAGGAGGTGTCGGATAATAGGCAAATCCTGTCTTGAATTGCTTTGTTCTTCAATGGCTGTTTTACACATGTGGGTCCCCACTTAGTATTGCAGTCATTGGCAAAGAAGCATGTTTGAGCTCATCTCTCCAGCTCGCCCTGACGAGCACATAATAATAGATAACTCTTTACTGGCAAGTAGCAATAAAAAAGTTGATAATATATATGCATGTGTAACATGAATTCTTCTTCACTTGACTGTGGTTTACGTCCCAAGCTTTGAATTGTGTGAGATCTGAATTTTTGGCCCATCTCATGGGGAAGAAGTATTTTGAACCACTGCAAGTTAAAAACATAAGAAGAATAGAAGAGTTGGAAGGGACTCTTGAGGATCATCTGCTCGAAGCCCCTGCAATGCAGGAATATGTAGCTGCCCCATACGGGGATCGAACCTGCAGCCTTGGCATGATCAGCGCCACGCTCTAACCAACTGAGCTATCCAGAACACTGCTGCATCACACCAAAGGCCCATCTAGTCCAGCATGCTGTTGTTCTCATAGTGTCCAAGCAGAAGGTGGTGGAAGCCAGCCTGAAAGCAGGCCTTGAACACAAACAACACCCTCTCCATTTTCGTTTCCCCAGCAACTAGTGTCCAGAGACTTACTGCCTCCAACAGAGCAGCTAGTAGCCTTTGAATCTCCATTAATTTCTCTAAACTCACGTATGCTTGTAAAAGTCTTTCGTAGATTAGGTTCGACTCCAAAGACATCCACCTGAAAGTGTGTTAGGATTGCAGCCTTAGCTTGTATTTGGAATATAATAGTGCTGTAGTTAAATCAACTGCAATTCACTGTTTGTGTAACTTTACGCATCAGTCTGTTTGAGAAATGACTCTTCTTTACTTTGATTTTTTTAAATTTTACACGTAAATGAAAGGAACTTGACATTACCTTCAAATGTCAAAGCAGTATGTGTTAAAGCTTCTGATACAAAATGTGTGAAGATGAGTGTTTATCTTTTGGGTCAAATCCTGGTTCCTTGGTTCTTTTAATAGCCTATATTCCACAATTTACTGCTGCTTTAGATAAACAGCTGGAGAAACAGACCTTCAGAGCTTACTATTTATAGTTGTCTTAAATCTTACAAGAGAAAAACCGTAGTTCGTTAGTGTTAGGCAGCTGTTTATGAATCTTTATTGGCTCTTCCTTATCATTCATTTAGAGTAGTATATCTAGCAATAAAAATGATCATAAATCTGCTTTGCATATTATGCGGACAAAATTGATTCCCCCCCCCTTAAGATGTTAGTCCTGTTTTATATGGAAGGGAGGACTGCTGAATATTTAGACTAGAAATCTGCCTCACGCTATAAATGTTCAAATATCTGTTGGACACTCACAAGTTTTGAATGGACAGAATTTCAGCTGTGAGTCTCTAGAGAATCCCCCCCCCCCCGAAACTTATATGTTGAAATTCTAGACACAAAGCTAACTTGCACTCCTTGTTCTACACATGAAGGGGGTTATTCTGTGGCAATTAATTATTCCTGTTGTTTCTGCAAGGTGCACAGAGATGTTTTCCAGCCCAAGACAGGATGAACATTCAACAAATGCCTCTTCTCACTCACTGGCGATAAACAACACAACAATGATAATGAATTTGCTGCCTCCTTCTGCCCAACAATGTTCTAATGTCCTATGTGAAGAGACATATGCACAAACCAATAACAGCTCTCTTTATTTCTTCCCAAAGATTATATAGCCCCATCTATATGCAGTTATTATTAATTATCATTAATTTAATTTCTTGAGCCTGCCCTACACCCTGAGGTCCCAGGGCAGCTTACAACAAATTAAAATACAAAGAATTGCATTTCTAAGGCTGCTCATATAAGTGCATTCCTGTGTATTCCTCTTGTTAGCCCTAAAGCCTGCCACCTATCAGTTTCAGGCGGTGACAAATTTTGTATTCTGAGCTGATTATTTTCCCTCCCCCACTTCCTACCATGCATCCCACCCATAGTTAGCTAGTATGAGGACCACTCATTTTCATTTGCTTGCCTTTTCACGGCTCCCGGCATTTGCAGGAAGCAGATTTATCTTTCTGTTTGGCATGCTTATTAACATGGGCAGGATTCCTGTGCCTGGCAGGGGCTTTGCCTAATAAACAAGGGAGCAGCTCTTGGGTGCGTTCAGCGCATATCTCCTCTGCATTGTGGGGCATGCGGAGACATGGATCAGCCCAATCCATTCAAATGAATGGGCAAGCCATTTGTGTTTGAAACAGTAAATTGGATTTAATAAAAACAGTACAAGGGGCAATCTTTTAGCATGCATCAATTGACGCATGGCCACCAATGTGTGGGTCCTTTTGGACCTGGAAGAGGGTGGAATGGAGGGGGTGGAACTGGGGCAGAGCAGACTCGTGCACCCTCTGTCAACATGTGCAGGGGCCAGGAATGGAACCCCCAGTCAAAATGGTCTTGGCCTGTACAGTGGTACCTCTGGTTGTGAATGGGATCCGTTCCGGAGGCCTGTTCGCAACATGAAAAGAGCGCAACCTGCAGCGGCGCGTCTGTGCACGCGCAGGTTGCGATTCGCCACTTCTGCGCATGCACATGATGTCATTTTGCACTTCTGCACATGCGCGAGCGGCAAAACCCACAAGTAACCCTTTCCGGTACTTCCGGGTCGCCGTGGGACGTAACCTGAAAGAACGTAACATGAAGCGGATGTAACATGAGGTATGACTGTACAGTGGTACCTCGGGTTAAGAACTTAATTCGTTCTGGAGGTCCGTTCTTAACCTGAAACTTTTCTTAACCTGAGGTACCACTTTAGCTAATGGGGCCTTCCGCTGCCGCCGCGCCGCCAGAGCATGATTTCTGTTCACATCCTGAATCAAAGTTCTTAACCCGAGGTACTATTTCTGGGTTAGCGGAGTCTGTAACCTGAAGCGTCTGTAACCCGAGGTACCACTGTACTAGTTTTGCCATATTTTGAAAAGCTTCTACTTTTAGCTATGGATCTCTAGGACGACTCTCATTCTACACACCCATGAAAAAGAGAACATGTCCTGCAAAAAGAGGACATATGGCAACCCAAACTAGCTCAAACAGTGTAACATTCACTCAAATTCAGATGCTTGAAGGCTCCAATGCTACAGACACATATCTTAAAGTACGCCTTGTCAGTGTCCCTACAGTGGGACTTGCTTCTTAATAAATGCGTGTAGGGCGATTGCTTTTATAGCCAATTTTTTATTTTACTTTCCCCTGCTGTGTTATCATTTGACTTCAGAAAAACACATATTTAAACCAGCAGTGTTTTGGTTCCTGAATGTGATAGATTGTAAAATTCAAAACAAAGATATTTGCACATGCTTCCTTGCTTTATGTTTTCAGGTGTTATCTTTCCAAAAAAAAGTTAGATTGCTGGGCTTGATATCTTCTTCTTTCATCTATTGATGGTAGGGAAATGTGTGAGAAAGCTGCTCCTGAGAAAGAAAAAGCTTGTGATCCCTAAAACCACCCATCTCGCCTTATCCCTAAAAGGGATTCAAAGACCTTGCATTGTACTAGATCACCTGTTAGGAGAGTTCGCGTGTTACATTCAACAATAGTTTAACTGTACAAATCAACAAGTATGCAGTCTTTCACACAAAACTTGAACATTTGTAGAAATGAATGCAACATGTGAATAAGCTGGTGGTTTTGTAGCAGTAGCGGTTGCAATTGCATTCCCTATAGCTTTGCTTTTAAAAGAATGTGCCCCCAACTGCCACTTAAACCTAAAAGGAAAGTGACAATTTGTTCGTACATAATGACTGCAATGTTATTTTTTAATATACTCTACCTTGTATCCTTCCCCCTGCCCAGTTTAGTAAATACAGTGTTACTGAAGTCTGGTTAAAATGACTGACTATAGATCACTCACTCTCTTCCCTTTGGACTCTTCCACTCATCCTCTCAGTATGTTGTTTGTTTCCCCCATGCACCCCCTTTCATTTCCTTCCTTCCCCTCTGACTATTGTTTCCCACCTGCTGTGATTTACATAGGTTTGTGTCCCGTGGTATCCTACTGCTGATTGAAGCTTATTTCATTGAGTGGAGGCTTCCATCAGTGGAACAGGGAAGGCTGTGATTTTTGCCAATCTACCCTCCACCTGCCACTAATGCTTTCCCAAAGGGCCATCGAACCCTCTGAAGCCCATTGGTGGTGCAGAGGGAGAAGGAATCAAACGAAAATCACCTCCATCCCCGTGTATGGGAAATGCATCCAGAAGACAAAAATGTATTGAGGAGCTAGTGATCTGACATGGTTACCCTTCCTGTCTCTGTTCCTTCCCCCTCCCTTGGTCTTGTCAAAATTTTTGATGGTGTAAGAACAGTCTTTAATGTCCTGAGAATGTTGGGAGGAGGCGAAGCCCCACACACAGCTGCCTTAATCAGTTTTGGAGGATAATGCTGGGTACCTTCTTTGATGTTGGACATTGTTTTGACAAAGTGGGGCATTGGTGGGGGGTGGCTAATGGATGATCTGCGCATCGCCAGTCTTGGAAGCCACATTGGCTATCTATAAAATTGGACAGTTTGGGCAGAGTTTCTTTGAAGCTCGCGCACGGACTGATCGGCCGCAGGGCCGTGCAAACTGAGGCTACCTGGGGGAGTGGCTTTGCTGCTTCTTGAGGGCTTGCTTCAATCTTCTCACTCGCTTGTATATTTTATATCGCTTCTGAACCACCTTGCCTTTGGCAAGACACCCCGGTCTGTTGATGGAGACCCCTGCTGCCTCTAAGAGCTTCCTATCAACAGCGTGCTAGAGGCTTTTGTCAACATGTGATGAAAGATACCCCTTGGAGCAAAGACCAGTATATTGCCTACTCAGTTCTGTAAGTCGGTGTATCGCATTTCTGCTGCTGTATAATAAACAGTGTTATAAAGTGTTCTGGGAGCATCTCTGCCTACTTAAAGCAGAGGTAGCCTATGCCACTGCCTTCCAATGTTGTGGAATGCTGTCACCCACCATGACTAATGCTCAGGGATGATAGGAGTTAAAGTTCACAACATCTGCAGGGCGCCATGTTGGCTACACCTATTCTAGACCTTCCATATGGCAAAAGTCATTTTCTCTTCAAATTCAATAAGAGAATTCACCAGTGCAGTGTTCTTTCAGATGTTTGCTACGTCTGTGATGAATGATGCTTGTTTTTCTGGGCTCTTTAATTAGAGTGTTTCTACATTTGCCAAAGAAAATGTTGGAAGGCAGACAAAAACTGAAAATTATTGATGTAATAGCTTATTTGTAAAGGAAACTGAACTTGTTTGGTATTTTATTGAAACAGGAAGTTCAGCAATCCGTCCGCAGGACTAACAAAAAATTCTCAGGTGCTGGTTGAGTCATCTGTTGTTGAGCGTAATCACATTCTCCCCTGATTTGCTTTTAAAGTTTAGTGCAGTTTTTTAAGGAAGGAAATTAAGCGTGGATTTGTAAATCTGTCTT